GGGAAAGAGAGGGAAGGTATATATGAGGAAAAGAAATTTATACATTTTTGCTTTATTTGCTGCAGGCTTCCAGGGTCAAACACAGATCTGGAATAAGTTAAGTAACAGTAATTTCAGACACTAGAGAATCTTAAAGAAAATTGTCCATATAAAGCTTACTAGTAACTAAAGGAAAGAAAATCTACTAAGAGGTTCCCTTTTGAACAGATAGCCTAAAATAGGGTATTGGATCACAAAAGGAATGTGTTATACTTGCATTCATTATAGATGTTAAGCTTTCTGCCAAGTGAGACTTGATTCTAATGACATGCTGCTGCTGTGAGTATCAGGCCTGCTCTTTACATTGCTGCTTGCAAAGATATTTCTTTCTGACAGCATTTTGAATCTTGACTTTTACCCTTGAACACTCAAACTCAGTTTTTACGTTCTTGATCCAAATCATGAAAAGCCTTGTACAGCCATCACAAAGGACAAAAAGCAGCAGAGATGTGTAATGCTCTGACCCAGGTGAAGAGCCAGCCACCCATCCTAGAAAATGGAGTTGAGAATTGGGCCTCTGTAGTGGATCTGTTTACAACATAGAAGCACCATGCCAAAGGAAGAAGGGGTTGATTGAATCAGGTATGCTGCTCCTGTTTATAAGCAGTGATTTAGTAATGCTGCAGACTCCTTTCTCTAGAATGTGTGGGTTTTTTCAAGCAGTGCAGTCTGTTAATTTTGGCAAGCTGTTCAGATAGTAGAAGCCTTTCTCATAAGGTGCCTAAGTAGAATTTCTTAAGAATTTCTGATGACTGTGTTCTTACTTTTGGGATATAATGTAGGACTGAAGGAGAAATGTGTTCTCTTTTTGTTTCTACCCCATCTCCTCCCAGATTTCTGATGCTATAGAACATCTTCAAGAAGCACTGCAACTGTGCAAAGATGACATGAATTCACTTCATCTACTGGCCCTCCTCTTTTCAGCTCAGAAGCACTATCAGCATGCGCTGGATGTCATCAACATGGCTGTCGTTGAATACCCGGAAAGCTTTAGGTAAGAGTTATTGCACGATGCAATACATCCAATCAGGAATGGTCTCCTCACTAGTTCTCTTGTTCTCTGTTATACACAAGGAGCCTGTTAAATCATGTGTGCTGCTGGTGTGTTAGTCTCCTCTTAGGTGTACTGTGAAGCTAAAACATGTGAGGCTCAAGGTATTCTTTTGATTTTCTGTCTTCGTGGTTTTTCTAGTTTTAAAACTAATCCTTGTGCTTGTTTGCTTTTCCAGTATTTGTCTCTCTGTATTGTGCTCCCACATATCTCCCTGTACTTTTTCATATGTCACTTTACATGTGGAGAAATGAGTGTGAGACAGCTATGATGAAGTCTGTCTATATCACAAATAACTTTCTATTTGGTAAACTTCCTGGTTAAAAAGAAACAAATTCTTCGTGTATTGACCATTCTTTTGATGCTCATGCATGACACAGCTTGCTGCAATAGCACAGCTGGGGAAAAAGATCAACTGAAAATCACAAACTGTAATAATGTATAGCTGAAAGGATGGTTTGGCTGCCTAAAAGCAGGTTTGAACCTGCACAGACTTCTTGGAGCCAGAGGTTTCCACTGTTCTATGTTTGACTTGGTCCTTCATCCATCTGAGGGAGATAAATTGAATTCCTTGCGATTTACTGTCGTGACCTTTCAAAACAATGAATTTGTCTGTTCTGTGCAAGAATTAAAGCTACTGTAATGCTTTCTGGTGATTACATACTAGCTGAGTTTCTCAGCTAAACTGCAGAAAATGCTGTTGCATTGCTGGAAGCCCAACTTCCATTCTGAATTGCCTGTATTTAACGGATATTTTAAACCCACACAGCATTGTCTTTTAGACAGCCTGCTTTCTCAGTGGAGAGAGGGAGCGGCCTCCAAAGGTGCAGGCCAGCAGCTGAGTGGGACGTTGTCTAAACCAGAGCAAAGGAAGGTCACAAGTGAGATTGAGGCTATCTAAATGTGAGCTTAAATGCTTTAGGGTCTTTTAGATTTATGGTGCTATATCAGCATGTAATGCTCGTCATTGTAAGCTGCATGTTGCCATTTAAAATTGCGCTACTGCCTGTGGTTTTGAGGTTAGTTACTTTGTATATGTGAGGAACTAAGACTGCCTGTGCACATCTTTGAGAACAAAGTGAAAATTGGAAATGGAAAAGCTCTTAAAATGATGCCAGCATCTCTTCAGAGTGTGAACATGGGTATGACAGAAACAGGAAATACTCCAGTGGCTGCTAAATTGTACTTTGCAGTTTGAAAGTAATAAGCATAGTAAAAAAACCTCGTCATGCAGTCAAAGGTGGCATCATACTGTAAAGATCAGATAATCATTGCAAATAGTCAAAGATAGATAAGACAGAGGTGGAAGAGGAAGAAGAAACTGGTTGTTCACGTGAGGACCAGAGCATTTGCCGTGTCAGATCAATCAGCTGGTCCATCAAGTCCTGGATCTTTCCTCCAGCACTTACAGATGATTTATGTTTCAGGGGAGGACCAACCAAAGAAAACACAGTGTGCAAAGTAGCTTAGAGGGCTGCTGGGTGGATTCCTTTGTGCTGTCTGGCAATCTGATTTCCCCAAAGCAGGAAAGGTTATGTCCTGTGCTTCCATCAGTGCCAATCTTCATGTGTGGAAAGACCTTGCAAGAAGTAGCAGAATAGGTGGTTTCTGGTAGAAGCGATTAATACTGGTAGTGAAAGCCACAGGTTCCTGCTTACTCCTTGACATAGACTTGCTAGGGTCTGTGCTTGTGGAAGAACTCCCCTTTGCTCCCTGCGTGCGCTGTGGTACGTAACACAGCTGGCAGTGAGACTCATGCACAGATATGCTGGGATGCAGGAGTAGGGGCTGGCTTCTTGCCTCTGCTGCTATGACTAGCCTGTCTCGGTGTGGGTCTTTAAACCAGCCAGCAAATAACTGATGAGTGAGGCAATGGAGGAAGAGTATCAGAGTTGCAAGACAGGAAAAAAAAAAATTGAAAAAAAATTCTGAAGAAAAAGAACAGAAATCCAACGGGGGGGGCAAGAAAAGTAACAGAATACACCTGTAGTGTGCACCAAATCTGAAACTGTTCCAGACTTTCTAGAGGTCTAAAGTGCAGTTTGTGCTAGGAGGGATTTACTGCTTTGCAAAACCTCTTTGAAGGGAGAAAGACCTGATGCTATTGTGTATCTCCAGTTGTTATTGGCTTCTAGAAAAATTGTAGTAAACTTTAATACTGCATGGAATGACTACAGAATACTTCATGTAAATAGTATAGGCATGATTTCAAAGCTGTGTTTAAAAGTGGTTGATTATTTTTCCCAATTCACATTGATATGAACCAGGCAACTGTGTAATGTGGTGCCTGGGGGCTCCCTTCCTAATGACAACTCTTTTTGGAAGCATAGTTTGATGGCATGTATCAAGAAAAAAAAGATGAAAGCTGCATTAAGGGACTGTAGGGCTCTGTAGATGGCAAAAAAATTGTAAGCATTAACTGGATGTATATCCTAAACAAAAGAAAGAATAATGCATAAAAAGTTAAGGTCTTAGCTGGCCCAAACTGCAGATGTCTCATACTGTTTCATTGATCGCTTGCTGTATGTAATTGAGTTTGTTCCTGCTTTTTTATTTTCACATCAAATTCTTTCATTATATATTTTAAAGAAGTCATCATTCAGGTTGTCACATAGTTGGTTAGTGGTTGAAGCAACTGGAAAAATATACTGCAGTGCTCAGCTAACACACAATGTCCTTTGGCATGAGCCCCATAAGACTGACCCAAATGTGTCTAGAAGCGCCCCTCCTTGGAATGTTCAAACTTACACATTTACTTGACATTTCAATGGTCTCTCTGGTGCATAGGGAGGGGGGATATGAAAGCTAGGCACTGAACACTGAGAGAGATGAACTGGAATGTTTTGGATCCAGCTGTTGGAGAACAACAGCCTCAAAAGGCTACCTATAGTAACAAATGCATTACATTCTCGTCAGTGAATGACTGAATTTGAGCACTTGGATGTACTTTCAAGCAATGATAGAGGAAGACTGGATAGAGGAAGAATGAGAGCTAGCTATGTTGGACATAAGAAGAAAGAAATAATAGCAGCCTTTACAGGGGAGGTATCACCTGAAAAATCATTGACTCCTATGGAGGCAGACTGCCCAGGATAAAACTTAGTGGGTTTACATCCTGTCAACATTGGTATGCTTTTGAAAGAAATTAATGAATGCAGTACCAACAGTCGGTTTTGGTATGTACTTCAAAGTACTAGCTCCAGCACATTTGAGAGAGAAGACTCCTGATAGCATCAGGTATCTCCCCTCCAGGTCAATGATGCTGATCATTGATCTTTCTTAAGATGGATTCCTTCAAATTCTTTTCCACCTCAAAGGCCAGCCTTTTGGGCAGTGTTCTACCTGGGATCAGCTGTGATTACCTCCCCAGGCTTGTCTCAGGAATAGATCTTTTACATGGAAGAAATAATATTAGTGAGCACCCCTCTTGCCTCCCAGGTGATCTTCTTAATACATTGTTTATTTAGAAAGAAGGTATTTCCCTTTTTAAAGCCTGTATTCATACCTTGCAAAATCTTCCATGCAGAAGTCCCATAGGTCTGGCAGCCTGTGGAACCCACCACAGAGCCTGGCTGATGTGGTCCTTTATCTTCAGATGGTAATATTTCCTCCTTCCTGTTTTGCTTGTGTAAAATTGACTTTGTCGTCCTGACTCGCCCACTCTTCCAGAGACTGTTTTGTTCTGTGGTCATCTTTTAGCTCTAATTGGTTAGCTCCCAGCACTGGAAAAAAACCAAGGTCTCTACCTAGCCTAAGGTTGAAAATAGGATATCAATTTTATGGATACTGTATTGCTTTATAATTGCTCCCAGACTGCTTATCAAAACCTATTCTGTTTTTTGCCAGCTTGTTTTTTGTCTCCTGGACGGCTCCCCATTCAGTTAGAACAATACATTCTTCTGGCATAACGTACAACAATTTCTAATCACTGCCCAATGAGACAGTGAATGTTTTGTTAAATGATCATGTCTTTATATCAGTAGCAGTTCTGCATCTGGCACAGGAGTCGTAACTCTTCTAAATGAATAGCTGCTAATATTCCTTCTCTTGCTAAACTATAAGTCCCTATTCTGTTGCTTTCAGAATCTCAAAACTAGTTTTAAAGGGAAGTAACAGAAAACTTTTGGGAAGTGCTGCTATTCTACACATAAAAGAGTCAGTAAGAAGTAGGTGGATTGGTGTTTTGGAGAAATGTAGCTGTCAAATGCAGATGCTTTTGTTCTACCCAGATATTTGCTATCTCAAAAGTAATTGCTGTAATATTACTTTATACTAGAAATATTAAATGTGTATCTTGGAGATCATCAATAAAGAAGGAAGTAAATTTCACACGGGACATTGTGTGTGTTGTCTTGGTGGTATTTTAGCAGAATGTATTTTGAGGGCTGTCTGTAGCAAAAAAAACCCCGAAGTCCTCTTCTAGATTAGAAGTGGTTTACTGACAGCAAACGTCCTTGACTTCATCACTAATTTCATTAAGGACGTGTGAAGTAATCGTCTGGCAAGACTTGTCATAGTCTGGTGCAGACTTACTGTGGGGAGAACTATTCTGGGGTATAGAAGCAATGTCATTTACCAAGTGCTTCCACTTGCTACAAAAAAACCCCAATGTAAAATCCAGATCTCAAGACGCATGATTAAACTGGCGTTCCTAGTTTGAGTTCTTTTTCCATTACTCGTCAGGCTATTTCTTGTATGTTGAAAATAAACAACTCATACCTTCTTTGAGCAATATCTTTATGGGTACTATTGGAGTACTACAGTAATGTTAACAGCCATAAAGTAGAACTATCCTTTTGCCTGTAATTTCATGGGGAATAAGGAGTCAGTTGTGTCTCAGTGGATGGTTTGCAAACCTTTGCGTTATGCCTAGTCTAAACTACAATTTTTGTGTCAAGATGGTTATACCTCCCACCTCACCCTCAAGTAATAGGATTGTGTGT